AAGTGTCACAGAATTAACAAAATTGTATTTTTTTTCTAATTTAGCTCAAGTGAAATCTTACCTGAAAGCCCCAGATGTCGCGGGATAAGTCTCTTCTCTCTGTAGGTTGCTATATAAGAGACGAATAACTGCTCCAGCAAACAGAAAAGCGCGGCATCGGCCTCCGGTCGTGAGCCGACTCAGAGCCGACGCTTGATGAGCTGAGAAACAGAGCACTGACCGAATTATATCGGCCTATGCTTGGCCGACGCTTATTAGATGTTTTAGATAATGAGGCCGACGTTTCACTCTTGGGCCGACGTCGGCCAGACGTACGTGTGCTGTCCGGGATACTATATTTATTACCTCGAAATGACCTTTTTTAGCTACAGGATGCCTTTGTTCATATTAGGGATTTCCTGCACATCATAAGTTATTACTTCTACTAGGCCATTTTGGACTTTCTGCGCGAGAGCGCCCTCCGGCTTCGAGTACACATTAACTAAAATACTGAAACGCTAATGTTGCTGCTGATTCAAAACGACAACGCCGGTGATTGAGTCAAAGCAAAGCGCGGTTTGAATGGCCCGCCCCCGCAGCTGAACTGGACGCTTTGATTGGTTTTGCACCCGAGTCAGACCTGTCTGTTATTGGCTGAAGCGCAGGGCTCCACCCCAGAAGTTTGAAAAGTGCTTGAAGTGCAAGAAGTTGAATATTTTCGTTTTATTTTACTCAAGTAAAAGTAAAAGTACCACAATTTAATTATTCTCAAGAAAGTAAAAAAATGTACTCAAGTACTGTAATGAAAGTATTTGCAATTAGTTACTTCCACCTCTCTATTTGGAAGAAGCGCACAACGTGGAATAAAGAGCAAAGGGAAAAACAGCATAAGCATACAAAAAAATAAAAATATGTGCAGAAAATGTCTGAGAGCACAAAAAACAGAGGAATATAACCAAGGAAAACATGATTTTGTGTGCAATTCGGATATTTTTGCATTACACATTATTTTTTGATCCATGACCATTTTTTGCTATTCTGAAAACTTGCTTTTATTTTTTTATTTTGTGCAATATAATGTTACTTACGTTTTTAAATTGTGGTTTCACGCTTGCTATTTTTTTTTATCCGTGACTACAATACATTTGTCGGGAATATGATCCCATACTAGACGCGCTCCTCCTCCAGCACAGGGCGCGCCCACTGTGCACGGCTCGGCTATTTTCAAGATCTTTTGTAATCTATAACGATTCGATACTATTGATAGCTTGCGCTTTAAAAAAATGTCAGACTAACAGTATTGTGTAGACGTGTTTTCCGGATGTTTCGCTGAACTGAAAAGTATCTGCACTGCACTGCATCATTTTTGGGTAATCAATTTCAATTACATTAGAAATCTTCGAGTATTGGCCAGTTCCGTAATCCTATTATCCCCTATTGAAAGTCATCAGTAAACACCCTATGGGGCTGTGGCAAACATGCTTTGTTTTGTCTCATCGTAAAGAAATTTACACAACAGGCAGAAGGTCCACTCAGCCTTCACTTCCGTGTTGGGCACGCGGTGAAGCACGTGATCCTTTTATGTGTTCCGATTGGTTACTTCCGACATTTCTCAAAAGATCTACCTGGATGATGAAGGTCAAACCCTAATCTCTAATCATAAAAATCCAAGGTATCTGATATTGATATTATATTTAAATAAGCCTGTTTGAAGGCTAGTTTAAAATGTTATACAATTTTGTTAGTACAGCTTTTAGCCATATGCTCAGTGGAAAGTAGACGGTCTATAGTAGTGCTCTGTTTAGTAACAGGCGGGGAGAAGAATCTAGAAAGATAAACGTTGCTCTTCTGAACTGGATTCATCGTGCCATTTCATCGAATGCATGTCCGATTGTACAGTTAATTTGATCAAGTTTACAGGTCTGGCCAGGAGAATAAATAATCAAAAGACGGTAAGTCCAGCATAGAGTTGACATGGATAAATTCGTCATCGCGGATGTAAATAACAGTCCACCGGGTTAGCCATATAAGTTAGCTCACTGAGTAAACACACATGCAGATAACAAATCTAGAGCAGATTTGTATTCAGCAGGACCAGATTCGAAGGTGTTTATGTGTCATTTACGATTATATTGTCTCATTATCTGTATTAAATCGCGTGATTGAGTTGTGTTTGGTAGATAGAGGAGGAAAAGGTGGCCACATCATCAGGTCTGTATGCATTGCTATGCGCAATTTTCCAGATTAATATTTAGCTGTTTTTAAATGCTCTGCAAGATCGAAATAGTCGTCTTAATATGTAATAAGCCGGTGTGATTTGAATTTGAATGGGTCAGCCAATGATGTAAGTCCTCAGCCATGTTCGGTTTAGAAATATTAATGACTTCATTATAATTCGGTAAGTTAGAGTATTGTGCTTGCTTGTTAAATATGAAGGCAAGAAAGTAATTAAGTATTAGTTAGTCGTTGGATGGTCGTTTATTAGCAGCAAGTTATAACATATATAGCAACGATTTTTTTTGTAAACCGCAAAATGACTGCATGTTACAATAATTTGTACTTTAAGCTAGTCACCTCTTGTTTTGTACTGAAGAATTTTGTTCTTTCACAGAATTGTTAGTGGTGATTCAGAATGGCAGAAGCTCATCAGGCTGTGGCCTTTCAGTTCACTGTCGGCCCTGATGGCATTGACCTTCAGCTCAGTCATGAGGCCCTTCGGCAGGTCTACCTCTCCGGACTTCACTCCTGGAAAAAGAAATTCATTCGCTTTAAGGTACGCGGAGTGTGTTTCTTACATTTTCTGTGGACATGTTACCTTTTCAAGCTCATTTGTAGATTTAAAACTGGTCTTGGAGAATTCGATTTGTCATTGTGCCTGCAGAATGGGATTTTGAATGGGGTTTACCCAGGAAGCACACCGGGGTTCATGCTGGTGTTGGCAGGGTACTTGGGAAGAGCACATTATTTAAAAGTGGACCCTTCCTTAGGCCTGCTCGTCAAACTTGGCAAACTTGTCCCAGTCAGGTATGTCTAGTTTATTTGTGCTGGATGTTATTCCATAATTCAATAAAGTGCCTGTGGAATGATGTTTTAAATTACATTAGTATGTATCAGAGGTTTTTCCTCAGTAAGGGTCCTCTGAATACACTACACTACTTTTGTACATAGTTTTGCCCCAATTTGCAGTTTGGACGAGTCAGAGCCAATCTGCAGATTTTGGGTAGTTTGAGTTTTTGAGTTAAAATTGCATAGTGTATAATAGGCACTTCAGACTACAGCTGTGCCTGAAATCACATATATGTAGTATGGATATGGGTAGTATGAAAGAATTCGGACATACTACATCCGCCATGTTGTATTGTCACGTGACCTACCAGCATCAGTTGTGTTGCTTTACAGCCACTCAGGAATCCTCTTCTCTGGCCTTATTGGGTAGTGAAGTGTACATCGTATACACAATTAAGTATATCGGCAGTCATCCTGGTACCTTTCACCTACTGAATACTATGAATTCTGTGGAAGCTTGTTTCTGCCACTAAATAAAAAAAATATTTTTTCTCAGAATTGTGAGCTTACATCATTGTGAGTTATAGTGTCAGAATTGTGAGGAGATATAAACTCACAGTTGCAAGTTATAAAGTCAGAATTGTGAGATATAAACTAACAATTGTGAGAAATAAAGTCAGAATTGCGAGATCTAAACTTGAAATTCTGAGAAAAGGTAAGAATGGCAATTCTGACTTTATAACACATGAAAGAAAACATGAAAAATGTCAGAATTGCGAGATGTAAAATTGCAATTGCGAAAAAAGGCAGAATTGTGTGGTCGCAATTAAGTTTTTGTTTATTTTTTATTCCGTGTCAGAAACAAGTTTCCATAGATTCAGACATAATACTCTTTTCACACACTGTTTTCCGCCTATTATAAAGTATTATTATATAGGAATTATTATTATATAGGAAGTAGGCATATTCGGAAACAGCATGCTTCCATCCAGTTGGGGTAAACGTTTAATATTCTGAGACGATTTTAGAACAAACAAGTCGTGTTTGGACGACTTACAAGTCTGGTGTGTGATTCTCAGTCATTTACTATATGATTCGCAGTTTTTCTCTGGAACCAATTACAAAGTCAGCAAGTTTATGATGCCTAGTGTTTTAACCTCTTCAGGTTTTAAAAGTCATTTAGAGTATTCCAGCCTTTATTCTTCTCTTTTTGCAGTAGGTACATGTCTACACAAAATCAGATGTTAGTTGGAGGTGTCATGGTGGGCACGGGTCTGTGGATTGCCATCATATTCAGCATGAGGACTGTCCTGAAGGGTCTGTTGTCCTGGCACGGCTGGATGTTTGCTCCCCATGGCAAAATAACCTGTCAACTTCGGATATGGCTGGTGTGTATTTGTGATAACTGTTTTCTGGAACAGTTTATGCTCACTAATCCATTCTTGGTTGTTTTGAACTCTTTTATTTGTTCTCTGACATTGCAGATCCTAGTGAAGGTTTTTTCTGGCATGCAAACACCAATGCTATACAGCTTCCAGAACTCTCTCCCTCATTTACCTGTGCCATCTGTGAAGGACACAATGAGAAGAGTAAGTTATTCATCTTTACAGCAATCAAATCAAAACTCCGCTAAATGCTGTTTTTATTGAGATGTTTTATTCAAATATATACATGTCAGATTGGTAAGCCAGGAATAGCTGCACTTCGTTTAGTTTTTCCAATGTGAATTTTGGTCACTTGTTTTCAGAGTTAACTTGCTCAGGTGATTATCTACTGATTTTGGAGGTAGGTTGCACAGCGTGGATGAAGTGAGTTAACTTACTAAAACATGCACGCTGTTCAACAGCATTTTAATTGAGATGTTTTATTCAGCTGTTTAAATGTCAGATTGGTAAGCCAGGAATAGCTGCACTTCGTTTAGTTTTTCCAATGTGAATTTTGGTCACTTGTTTTCAGAGTTAACTTGCTCAGGTGATTATCTACTGATTTTGGAGGTAGGTTGCACAGCGTGGATGAAGTGAGTTAACTTACTAAAACATGCACGCTGTTCAGAACGGTACTAGAAAAACAAAACTAGCTTAGTTGCTGGCATTCATTATGAATATGCTTGGATTTCAGTTAATACTAATTTCTTTGACAACCCTGGCAGTGAGATTTTGCTTTAAGATGTGAATTTTAGCTGGGCTTTCTTGTTCTCTTGAAATGTTGGATCTGTAGTATCTTGAATCAGTTCGGCCACTGCTGAGCGATGAGGAACACCAAAGAATGCAGAGTCTTGCACTTGGTTTTGAGAAGAACCTTGGACCAAAACTTCAGTGGTACCTCAAGCTGAAGTCTTGGTG